TTGAGTGGCAAAAGCAGGAGCCTCTACTCCCATCTCTGGAAGAGCAGTTTACTAAATGATGTCTAATAGTGGTTTTTTTGGTCTTCAAAGTCTTGCAAAGACTTTGTTTTTTTTTTTCATAAAACACACTTGCAATAGGAGAACGTGCCCGTAATATGTAATTATTTAACCTCCACTTGAAGGATAAAAGGGTTTGTTTTCTGAATGAACGTGCTGTGAAGTAAGGACGGCCAGCAGCCCAGGTGCCCTCTGTCTCAGACCTGCTAATTGTTTGCTTTCAACTCAAACCCCTGGAAACTACAGGTCACAGCACACACTGTTTTTTCTTGTCCCGTAGTCTTTGTAAGTGCTTTTTGATTTAGGGATGAGAAGGGCTACATTTGGGTTTTCTTAGCCTGAGGTAGGTGTGATCCTTCTTGAGGGAAAATAGGGGTGCTTTAATGAAAGCTGTGGGGTTCACGGATGCCCACACTGTTACGTTCCTGGAAGAAGTTTAGTTCTCCCCTCTTGTCGCTCTTCAGGGCAGCTGAGTGATTAAGCAGAAGAGGTGGTGCAAAGACTGCCAAAAGAGGGTGGGGTAATGATTACGTGCATATGTGTAGAGCTGAAAGGCCTTTAATTATCAGGAAGCTTAATTGAATAGATGCTCACATTGCAGTGCGAGTCAGGGCAGAAGGCAATTGATAACTTGGTGTGATGTTTGATTTCATTCTCTCTGCTGCTTTCTGCTAATGGTGTGGATTTGCATAACCATTATGGATAATATATAGTTTTATGGAGGGGAAAAATAGAAATGAAAAAATCATGACTCCTGATCATGGGTATGTTGCAATGAATCTTGATAGCACCTTGAGATAATTTATGCAGCCATCTATTGTAAGATGCTGATTATTATGTTCCCTAAAGTCTTTGAAATCATTCTTTCAGGAAGCAGAGGAAGAGAATATTTGTAACAATTTTGAACTAGGAAGGTGGTCGCTTTTCCCTCCGTAACATTCAAATGCTTACTGATCTCTGAAGTGTCACTCTTCGTGTCTGGGGGTTTTTGTGTGAATTTTATGTTTGGGGTTTTTTTTTTGTTACAGATTAAAAAAAAACAACCTCCCACTAGTTTTGTCTCCTGACCTGTAACAATTTAGTGGTGATTGGTGATTGTTGTTAAACTGCTGCATTTAGTGATGTAGTCTGTGAACAAATACCTGATAATACGTCGTTTTGCCTTCCTAGTTATTTTTTAACTCAAATTTCAGCATCAAAGTGGCCTACTGGAACAGTCACTGGTCCCTGAGCAAGGCCCCACCACCTTAGTGGGAGCAGGCCCTGAGCTCTCCTCTGGTTTCCTTAAAAAGCAACTGTTCATTTCAGAACTAGAATTGAGAAGGGTTGGCTTAACCACAGAAACTCAAGCTTGGCTTAAATATTTTTATGATTCATAATTCTTGTGTCCAGTGTTGACAGTCTACATATGGCACTGCATCGGCCAGCAGTGCTGTAGACAGTCCTGGTTCTGATACTCTAATCGCAAGAGGCCATTGCTTCTTGCTGGGCTCAGCAATGTTTCTGAAATACTGATGTAAATTGTGGTCATACACTCGGGATGCACAAATGCGGGCTGTGTGTCTCTGTAAGCTCTACCTGTAATTTTCCTGGCGGTGTGGGGCAAGTTTTTAATGCTTCTGTTCCCCTTTTTCTTAAGCTGCCTCGGTGATACTCGCCTGGGTTTTAAGGTATGATAAGGAGTATCTGTGGAACAGAGATGCAAGGGACTAGTTCTCAGAGTACAAAGATAAGGTAGGTTCATGCCCCTGGCCATGTTTTGGGTACTTTGTGAGGGATGCTGATGGTTTAAGCCACACAAGCTTAGTAGTAGGGAGTGTCAGTACTGTTTTCAAATGTTTCTGTTAATAAAAGCAAACAAAAAATGCTTTTTCTTATTTTAAAAACAAACAGAAAGCCTTGTGGTTTAGCAGGATTCCAAGCTTGCAAATAGCATTTGGCATCATCAGAGCTTATAATTTCAGCAGTTGCTCAGGCACCTGTGAACAAAGGTTTGTCACCTGCCTGGCAAAGCAGCCTGCAGTAAACTCCAGTGTTAAAAAGAAATGCAAATATTTATGCTGGAAGCAAAATGATGGAACAGCAGATCCTCTCCTTACAATCCTTTTGTACAAAAAGACGAGAGAGCGCTCATCTTCCCCAGCATGCTGCACCCCTGATTGCTGGGGGAGCAGTGCCCATTAATCCCAGCCGTGCCCCGGGGCAGCAGGGTGCACCCTGATTTCTCGGCTTCCTTTCCCTTGTGTGACAGATGCTCCCTCTGCGCTGTGCGGGGAATTCTTCTCCTCTTCCCCACTCCTCCTGTGGATTACCAGTGCTGTTCTCTCTCTGGGCAGGAAGGTGTTTTCAGTTACACTCCAAAGCATTGTATTTAATACGAAAATACTGTGTTTTGGCAGATACGGTTCTCATGAAGCAAGATTCCACAGTGAGATCTGATGGTGGGAGTTCAGGTGGTCTGTCGAGAGCTGGTAGAGACGTTGCCTGTTAAGATGGCCTTTCCATTTCCAGGGCATCTCAAAATGTTAAGATAAGCTAACTATTTCACTAAGCAGTCTCTTTGATATATGTACTGTCCATATATGCCTTGTTATTAACAGTAGTTGATAAACGGTTGTTAATTACCAGTTGTTAATAAAGTGGTTAGAGGAACAGGAAGTAAGAATAGGTGTTCATAGGACTCTTCTTTTAAAACAGCAACTTTCATTTTTTCACTTACATTTTCACCTTATTAGTATCATTATCACACGTACCCCTTTATATGTGCTAGGGAAAAAATGAATAATAGGTCCGTGTTGTGTCCCATCCTGTCCCACCCCAAACATACACCTCCCAGCTCCCATTTTCAAGTTCTTTCTTTTGGGGTCTGACTCTCAGGATCTGTAACAGTAATATTTTGCGCTTGTTGGGAGAGGAGATGTTCCACTGATGTACTCTTATGCATTTGGGGTAACTTATCAGATCAATTACAGCAGGCACTCCCAGCTGCTTCTAGGCTTTAATGTGTTCTTTGGCTTTTGTTCAGCAGTTAATATGCCGAAGGATTAGTAAGAACCTACTGTTATACAGAGTAGGACTCAGACATTCTGAGCTCAATCTTATTGAGGCATCAGAACTGTGCAGGCGTTCAGATGAGGAACTGAGGCTCCATGTTGCGAACAAGTACATTATGTTTGGAAAAAGAGTAGGTAGCCGAGTTTTCCATCAGTTGCATTCACAACAGAAAAGGTGATGAAGGACTAAAAGGATTCCTGTGAAAGGAAATTGGTGATACGTATTATGGTGAACAGGACTAAAGGCTACATCGACATGAAGCACTGATTTTAGTGGGGTTTCTGGAAAAGGCTCTGTTACATGAAGGGTGTACGCAGTTTTCTGCAGACATGGTAAAAGTGGCTTGGTAGAAACATGTATTGAAAGAGGTGTCGTTAAAAGCTGTTTACTCTTTATGGTGAGCAGGACTAAAGGCTTCGACATAAGGCTTCGACATGAAGCACTGATTTTAGTGGGGTTTCTGGAAAAGGCTCTGTTACATGAAGGGTGTACGCAGTTTTCTGCAGACATGGTAAAAGTGGCTTGGTAGAAACATGTATTGAAAGAGGTGTCGTTAAAAGCTGTTTACTCTGAGCAGAGCAGGTGAGGTCAGTATTAAGTGTCCTATTTTGTGGCGAAAACAGCAGCATCGGTTTCATGGTTTTGGTAGGTTGTTATTTTTAATTTTACCTTTCTGGAATTGCAACCACTATGCTTTCTTTTTCCACTGGAACAAATTAGAAGCCTCTAGATGCACTGATGTAATGTTCTTGAAATCCATCGCTGCGGATTTGGGAGCCACTCTGGTGTGAAGTCAGTTCAAGGCCTGTGTGTGCATGTGCTTTTTTTCAGGATTTGAACTTGATTTCCTAGTGAATTGACATACAATCTAGAAATGTAATAAGGAATTGAGCACAACATTCGTCTGTAAAAAAATTTATTGTATGCTGATTATTTATGGTTGGGAAGAAAAGCTGATAATTTAACTTTTGTTCAGCACTTTCAGCAAGAAGCCAGGTTAGGGCTCCAGCAGCCAAATCTGTTGACGCTGGCTTGAAACAAGGTGCAGGAACTGCTGTTTCCTTCCCTGTTTAAGGTCAAGGATACCAAAATCACTGCTGGCAGTTGCCTGTTTAGTCTGACAGTGTGTGTAAACAGTAATTATTAGATGAAGCAGAGAGTCTCTCCTCTCATGCTAGGTACAAATCAGAAATGTACTGCATTATTATAGCCTTGCCTTCTGTAAAAACACTGGATAATCTTTGTAGATTTGTGTTCTTAGTTCATGAGACTAGTTGCTACCCCCAGTCTTTTCACTAAGAGTGAGTGACCTTAGTGATCTGTTGCAGAATTAACATAACTGTTGGTCCTAGAGCATCCTTGCTTTGTTCCAGATCTCTGTAGGCCTGAGCGTAGAACCGAGCACTCAGAATTAAGTATGACAGAGATGTACTGCACTGCAAAAGTATAAATCCACTCATGTAGGCTGGTGCCCTTGAAGGGCTCATTTGGAGCGATTGGGCTGTAATGTTAGGTCTTTGAAACTGTCTATTTAAAGATTTTTTTTAGAACATCATAATTGGTTGGAACTGAAATCGTAGAATATCTCAAGTTGGAAGGGACCCATAAGGCTAGAATCCTTCCTTTTGTTGATTATTCTTTCCAGCCAGGAGCTTGGATATGCAGGTAGAAACCTACCACAGTCAGTGTTGTATTGAAACCTACCACAGATCAAGCCTCAGTTTCTTTAATAAAATACATTCTATGCACTAGTCTCTAGCTTAAGCTATTAAGAAGCCAGTAAATGGTGGCACAGTTTGTATGTGGAGAATCTTAAGTGCAAAGTGCAGTGATTCATGCAGTAGGTTTATCTCTGTATTCTGATCTTCAATATTTATTATCTTCTGCAGTGTGTACCTGGGAGCTTGGAGGATCCAAAAACTGTGACACATCATAAGTTGATACATGCTACTTCTGAGAAGGTGCTGACAGACACAAAAACAGTGTTGGAGGAAAACATTCAAGATAGAGGTAAGATTGTCTGGTTTTTAATCCCATCAGCCTGGAAACATGAGCTTGTGTTTAACTATTTGGCAAGTTCTAAACAGAAACCTTTTTAGTATCTACTCTCTGTGTTGACATAGGAAGCAAAGGTAGCAAAAAAAGGAGGAAAAATACTTTCTTTTTCTTTTCCCCCCTGGAGAAGGCACCTTGAGCAGTTTGCTTGTCTTCACTCTTTCTTTTAAGTATTGAAAAGGAATTAGGAGTGTTTGTTAAGTCAATAACTTAAATGGAGTATTTTTATCTCCTTTTAAAGGATTTTTTTTTTAAACCTCCAGGGCAGCATTTATCCTCCTTCAGAATGATTCAAAAATAGTTATCATGGCTGAGTATTCCAAGATAGACAACCCAATGCTTTTGGGAGGTTTCTTGAGGTCTCCAGGTCAAATGGATGATTGCTGAAGTGTATCTGAGCGTCTGCAGTTTAGATCTCATTCTGTCCTCTGCAAACGTAGATCAGAATCCATAACACTATAGTATCACTGACTACAGTAGAGTATGTGAGGTGTGTATTTGCTCCTGAACTTTAAAGGTGTAAAGGATTAATGTGAAACAAAAGAAGATCTGAAGATGAGAGCTGGAGTCAGTTTTTACTAGATAGCTTAAGCCAATGGCCCCTTCTGGAAATAAAGAGCAACAGTGCAGAAAGTGAGAGAAACAGGACTGCTGTAGACTGAAATATTGTCTAAACCAGAAACTCAGCAGGAGTAGAGTTCCTGGGTTTTTTCATGCAGGCTGGAGGACTGCTGCTGTGAACATGAGCAGTTTGGTGTCCCTTCCAAGGCAATGTCACCTATCACCTTTAGAGCCAAAGAGGAGCTGAGAAGTGCCATCTTAGGCAAAGGCAAGGGACAGCATTTTTGCTGATTAGTGGTGTATTATTTCTAGGCAAGGTGCCAGCTTCTACAGAGTTTTGAATTGCAGTTTGCAGCAGCTAGGCGGTATTAACTGTGTAGTCATAGTAAGCTGTCATGCAAATGCCTCTTTGCTCCTTTTCCCTCTGCAATGTGCTCTACCTTTCACGTGCCGTGCTTGTCAGAGAGACAAGATCGCAGCCAACAGCTGATTGCCACTGGCTGACTGCACAGGGCAGCCAAGAGCCAGCATGTGGATCCTTTTGCGTTCTGATCAGCTGGACAAATGAGGGTTAACGGCCTTCACCAGCTGTTGCTCTTGGCTGTTATGTGCTGAGCCAGACCAAGGAAACTTGTTGTGCAAAGCATGCTTTGTTTGCTTTTTACCCGCTTAATGCAGTGGACTAAAAACTGCGTGTCAGGCCATATCTGGCTGAAGGACTGCAAATGCTGCAGAGGCCTGATGTGGGCTCTAAGCAGTGTGTCTGCGTCTTTCCACCCTTAGAATGTATGTGGTAGTAACTGCGGTGTTAGAAACCTGTAAAGCATCACATGATCTCTAGGAAAAGGGTGCCTTGTAAGGGGAAGGTATTAGTCTTAAAAGCCCAAAGCAAGCTCCTGCCAGGTGATGTGGAATATCTGAGACTGAAGACTTGTTTGCTCTTGAGACTTGCCCTGGTGGGCTGCCAGTGATGCATCCCTGCTGTAGACTGTGGATCGCTTTACTGCCATTCACACACAAAGGTGAGCTTCAGCCTGGTACTGGAAGTTCTTGTTGAAGCTTGGTGCTTGCCTTACTGCAGTTGGAAGGCCCCAGCTTAGACCAAAAACCGTGGCCTGCCTCTACTGCTTCCTTCTCAGTGGAAGCACTGAAAGTACTGATGCCTTCTTATTATCATGAGCTAATTGCTGTACTATTAATGCAGAAGACAACTGCAGCCTGTAATACCCTTCCTTTAATGTTGTGTGAGGAGAAGAAACCTGTACCTATCAGCATAACTAATAATGGTCCATGTTTTGAATTCATGGTGCACTAAAGAATTGCAAACAGTGAAGGGGAGTGCGTAAAGCCATACAGGTTTTAAAGTGCAAAAAAGGTGTGATGCTACTGTGGAATTAATACAAAATTTCTCTCCGGGAAAAATTGAATTTGTGAAGCGTCTTACAAGAACTATTTTCACATTACTAATGTATTTCAGTGTCATTCTCTTTCTAGATGTGTTGCTTTTGATAAAGAAGCGTGCGCCACCTCCACTCCCCAAAATGGCAGATGTGTCAGCAGAGGAGAAAGTAAGTTTGAAAGACTTCTCAACTCGGCCATTTTGATTAACTGCTTCATTAATGTTATGTGGAAGGATTACTGTGGTGTGCTCTTTTTGCTTGTAGAGGCAAATGCTGCCAGTTAAATTCTAGGGAAATTGCTTCATATTTCTTCCAAACTTTGAGGAAGCTGATTTTACATGTTTAACTTTGACTGCAAGAACATTTGCCTTAGAATCAGACATGCAGGCGCCCTCTGTGGAAGTGGTATAGATTTGATCTTTGAACGAATGTCTTAACAACTGTATAAGTATAGTTCAGCAAGTGCCTTGCTTTGTCTCTGTTTGAAAACCCAATAGAAATATGTTGACTTGCTGTTAAGCTGTCTTCTATCTTTAGCTATGTGTGGCTTGTCACCCTCTAACCAGGTCTCTAGAGCTGAATTGTTGGCCCTTTACTATTCTTTTTTTTTTTAATTTTATTTTATTGGAATGTAATTGTTACTGAGGGTCAGTGATGCCCAGGATGATGCTTATGCACCAGTGGTACTGCAGTTGATGTTATTGCATAAACACTTTGTTGGATGCTTGTGCTTGACATTATGAATTCCTGGGTCTCTCTACTTTGTCCTTGCACAGCTTTGTTTCTTCTTGCTTCCTGTAGGTATTGGTGTATGTCTCTCTTCAGTATGGTCTTGCTGTGCAGAGTGTCACTGTAAGAGCATAAGTTCTAAGACTGGGAAATATTTATAGTTTGTACCCTGCTATGTTTTGTCCTGGACTATAAGCATGTACTGAAAATCCAAGGCACCATATATCTCTGCATGATACTTGCAAGCGGCGAAGCACTTCCAGCGTTAAGCAGTTAAGTGTTAGCCTGTGCACAGTAATGGTACATCTCTCGACAAACCACGCGTTTGAAGAGAGCGTGCTATGAGCAGACCATGTGGAGCAGAATATGGTCCTGGGCACTGAGGCCTCTGAGTTCTCTCCGTGTCTGATGCATCACTTTCCCTCTCTATGCTGGAATTTCCCTGTGTGTTTAGATAACAGAAATAGGTATAAGGACTGAAAGTGCGGCAACACGTCCAGTTTTGCTCTATAATTCCAAAGTGATACCGGTGCTATTAATCCATTGTATTGCTAGACTGCTATTTCTCTTAGTTGCAAGTTACAGAGCACTGCTTGATGCCTTGGTGAAGAATATGAAACTGCTCTCCGCTATGCTGTGTTCTGTGTTGTGTGGATAATGGGTTATGAAACCTGATCATGTTTCCTATCCTTCAGAGGAAACAAGAGCAGAAAGCTCCTGATAAGGATGCTATTCTCAAAGCAACTGCAAATCTGCCCTCTCGCAATGTAGATCGTGCTGTGGCCCATCACAACATGAGAGATGTAAGTATTAGACTTGACTTTAACTCGCACACTAACATCAAAAATAGGCTTTTATCTTGTATAACCTTTTCTCTTACATATGAATGTGATTCTCTTTTCTCTATAAGAGAAATTCAGATGTATATAATGTATATTAAAGTAGATAGCTTAAGATTTAGACACAGGTCATGCTATTTAGTGATAATAAAACACTGTTCTAAATTATGATTTTAAATGTTTTATTTGTCCATCGGAAAGCCTCAGTAAGCATATTCAAGATCTGGCAAATGTGAAGTTAGGGTTTTCTGTTTCTTCAGTCTAACATAGTTCAGGTGTTTGCAGTGGTTTTTTTCTCTTCTATGGTTTTGAAAAGAGAAATTAAGCATAAGTTTTGACTTCAGTAGTTGGATGCGGATAGAGTCTATAATGCTTCTAACTGTCTTCAGCAGTGTAGGGCCTACTTTTACCCTTCTGTACTAGTAGGGATATGGAGCAGCAAGTCTGCCTACATATTGCATGCTGTCAGTGTGCCCTGGTAACCCAAAGGGGACAATTGGCATTTAAGCTGTTTAATAGCCAACATGACCAACTGAGCACAGCGTATTTAAAAACAAATGACCAACTGAAAGGAATTTGTGATGCTTCAGTTTGGAAGATAGCTTTGATCTATGTTGTTCAAATTTAGATTACTAGAAAGCAAATAGTAGCTCAGAAAGGCTCATTGGTTCACAGAAGTAAGTTAGCACTGGTACGGAGCTACTGTGGCTGTCTTCTTACAGCACTTCTGCAAGGAGGGAGTCAAAGTGTTCTGTGGAGCAGTGAGGTTTCTTGAACACTGCACATCTTGTGGTGGTACTGGACAACAGGCTGTGGTAGAAATAAAAGGACCTTTCTGCCCAGTAGCTTTTACTTGTAGCACTTCACAGGAAAGGCCCAGTGCTTCTGAGAGACTAAACAATGAAAATAAAGCAACCTTCTGTACAGGGGGCCGGACTACTGCTGAGATACTAACAGTAGATATATTAAGATTCAATGATGTCTGGTAACTTCCTGTCTAAATGTTTTGACAGTTTCCTTTCTTGCAGTTCCAGACAGAACTCCGGAAGATCTTAGTGTCTCTCATAGAAGTTGCACAGAAATTGCTAGCACTGAACCCAGATGCAGTTGAACTATTTAAGAAGGCAAATGGTATGAACATATCTTTGTAGTTACTAGTTCAATCCTGGGAACTTGTTTGCTTCCATAGCAGAAGAGTGGGCTTGCAGAGTGAACTCCAGACCTTGATGTCTATGGCAAAGCTGCTACAAACTTTGTGGCAAAGACTTCACTTTGTAAATATAGATTGTATAAAACTTGTGAATTTATAAGGTCCCTTTGGGACGGATGAGAAGTTCCATTTAAAGATACAATCATAAGTAGTGAAAAAAATTGGAAAATTTCACGAGTTGCGCTTTAGGGATGGTAAAAAATAGTTGAGATTGCACAAGGAGATACTAAAATGAGGAGAAAGTGTAGCTGTTGATTCAGTTTGTGGGAGGTGCCTGCCCTTGAGATCTGCTACGACCAGACCCAACTACTTTCTAGATAAATGATAAATAGATCTTCAGTGAGTCTCCTGTATATTTACTTATGTGGAAATACCATGGTCATGCGAGAGTCAGCTGTCTTTTATTTGAGATCTTGAACACATCTGGACAAAGTCTTTGTCCTGGAAGAATCTATCTGAGCCGGACCAAGCTGAGTGCAGCAAATTAAATGATGAGGTAGCGAATTCGGGGCAGAAACAAAAGGGATGGAAGAGAAGAATGGGGTTTGAACTTAACACATGCCATTCCATTGAGAAAGGGTTTTATTTTAGCTTGAAGTCAATCTGAACATTGTTTTGTTTGTATATGTGTAGCCATGCTGGATGAGGATGAGGAAGACAGAGTGGATGAGATAGCTCTGCGACAGCTTACAGAAATGGGGTTTCCAGAAAGCAGAGCTGTCAAAGCCCTTCGATTAAATCAGTAAGTGTACTCAGCATGCTGCCTGTAAATTACGTTGATATGGTTAAAAAAAAAAAATTTGCATTTTTTTTTTTCTAAAGTCTCCTTATGTGGGTCACGTACAACTAGGTAGGAAAAAGTATTAACTCAAAGAACAGTGCTCCCACAGGCAGCGCGCAGGTGCCAGTGGCACAGGGAAGGGGAAAGTGCTGTGCTTGCTCTGGAAAGAATAACTGGTCTGCGGTTCACAAGGCTGCCGGGCTGGCACTGTTTCCAAGTGTTAAACTCACATTTTCTTCCACTTTAGAATTCAGATTTTGCAGAGAAAAAAGCAAACCTAGGCCATCCACATCAGTCTTTCAGCTGTAGAAAAATACTTTGTGCTGATCTTTTAAAGACATTACAAGAATATTGTGAAGTCCAGATAGCAACTGTAGAATGTGGTTCTTCTCATGCCCTAAGAAGTATCAGCTGTACTACCTCTCTCCTGAGAGGGGTTTGTTAGGCCATTCTCAAAAATTTCTAATGACAGAGAATCCACAACATATTCCAGTCCCTCTTTTCCAGTATCTCTCCCTTGTGGCTCAGAAAGACTTTCTCCCCTGATGTCCTCCATCTTTCATGTTGTAACTGAAAAGCCAAACAGGCAAAGGCTTTCCTTTCTATGAACATGTAGTAATTCCTGTGTGTCAAGTGAAATTACATGTTCAGTTGCCCTACCATTATCTTTGCTTCTTCCTCTATATTCATTGGGAAGAGATGTGTTGGGGCGCTCTCAGGATCCCTTAGCATGAGCACTTACACTGCATAGCAAGTGAACGTATTATGATCATGATGTTCTGTTCCCTTGGGCTGGCCTCTCCTTTGAGGGATCACAGATTTCTTCTTAAGTCAGAGTGGAGGAAGAACAGAGTGGTATGTGTCCAAGTGCAATTGCCTGTGTCGAATTTTGCTGTCGCTCAAGGCATACTGTGCACGTACAATGTTTTTCACCCACTTTCTCTCTTGTGTTGTTAATGGCATTCCTTGATCACTGGATGGATGTCTGAGAGAGATCTCCTTGAGAAGCAACAAAGCAGCTTGCATCTGAGATCTGGTTCTGTGTAAATTTGGAACATGCTTTGTTTGCAGTTCTGTCAACAGTTGCAAATAGTCAGTATTTCTCTGTTGTGAAATAAAGCAGATGATGTGCAGAATAAGGTGACTGCCTCAGAAATGCCTTTTAAAATCTGGGTTGCAGCTGTCCAAGTTGGACTTCGTTCCTCTGTCTTCCTGGCTTCAGAGAAGATTGTGGTGCCCTGAATACACAGAGAATTAAGGTGCTCTGAGATTTGCTCCAGAACTCTATTGTTTATGACTTTTCAAATACTAATTAACCTGCAAGTCAGTGTACCACGGGAATAAGTGGAAAGGCAAATATATGTGGAACACTACTGTACGTCTGGAGTGGTTTTGATCCCTGTGTTTTGATGTGCTTTTCAGTATGTCAGTGACACAGGCCATGGAGTGGTTGATAGAACACGCAGATGACCCTACAGTGGATGCTCCGCTTCCAGGTCAGGCTCCATCAGAAGCCACAGCTGAAGCTGGTGCATCCTCTGCTGAAGCGACTGCAGGTCCTAGTTCAGAAGCGGGTGGGGAAGAGGCCAAGGATGAGCTGACAGAAATATTCAAGAAGATCCGGAGGAAAAGAGAGTTTCGTCCAGACCCACGAGTATGTGCTGTTTATCTCACTATATAACTGTTAGGATTGAAAGGGACTGTGTGGGCACCATGGAATCCAAATAAATGTTTAGTTCATAAATGAAATGGGACATCTGGGTAGATATATATTATGCTGGCTTGACAGCATTTTAGTGGAAGTCTTTAGGGACTATTTAAATTCAGGTTACTGAAAGGGATATTACCTAATTAATGCACTGCTGTCTCAGATAGCAGTATCTAAATTACTGACACTGTTACTTCTGCACCTGAAAACTAACTAATGGGACTGAAATGAGCTGCCAGGCTCCTGGCGTTGGTTTTTATGACTGCTGTCTAGGAAGGAAGGGTTGCAGGACAGGAGTAGGTCCTTTTGCTGTACAAAAGGACAGAAGAGCATTATTGTATTTAGGAGGCAAGGAAAAGTATCACCAGCAGATGTAAGTCTTGCAGCAAATGCAGAAATTAGCCTTTTTTTCAGAAGATAATATTAACTGAAGTGAAAATATGTGGTGTTGTCACACTGTAAGCTCACCAGGAGGTGCTCTTTAGAATCCAGCACTTTGCTTTTACAACTTACCGTTTCTTGAGATTTCCGTTAAAAACTGCAAATGTATTTGACCTGGGTACAATTTCTAAATAATTAAACATTCTCATAACAATATCTGGGTATGCTTGTCTAAATACATAACACTAACAATATAATAAATCTGGGAAGTGAAATTAAATTGAGTCAATAGGACTACAAGTGCATGTGAAACTTGATCTGTCGGTGAGATGTGAACAAAAGCTTTGTGACATGAGAGAAGTTCTAAAATAAGGTGGTTTTGTCCTGCTCTTCTCCTTTCTACCCCAGGTACACTTGCTCTTTGCCTTGCATTCAAATTTCAGTGTTGAGGATAGGAACTACCTTCGTTCTTAAGATTTATTCTTCTTCCATGATAAAGACACTTTTAATATAGGGTATTTGAAAACTTTGTAGATACGATTACTTAGTGGTCAACACATGGAAACAATGGGGGGTTTTTACCCCACAAAAAGCTTCTGCACAGAAGATGAAAGGATATGATTGTTCTCATTTCTGTTTTAAATGTTACGTTTATTAAGCTGTGCAAATCTGATATAGGCTGTCATTGCCCTGATGGAGATGGGATTTGATGAAAAAGAAGTTGTGGATGCACTCAGAGTAAACAACAACCAGCAAAATGCAGCCGTGAGTACAATGTCATTTCTGTTCCTTATTGCTGTAATAGTCTGTTCAACTGATTCTTTTCGTCATTGAATTGGTTGATGTTTAGATCTATCATAAAGCCCAGCTCTTAAGGGAGATGAAACAAGCGCTGTATATTCTGTGCCTCTTTCGAATTAGATACAGAACTAGAATACAGAGGTTTTGGACTTCTTAAAGGAACTCAGCATGCATGAGACTGAGGCTGATCTGGTTGGGATAGCATATGTGGATTTTCAAAAAGCTTTTGAGACTCCCTCGCTAGAGTCTGCAAAAGAGATTATGCTATCATGAGAAAGGAAAAGGTATTCCCAATAATTAATAACTGATTAAAGGACAGGAATAATTGATCAAGCAAGAGATTCAAGCCATACAGTGTGTAAATTACCATTCTGCAGCAATGGATTCCACAGTTTATGGAATCAAAAAATATGAAGGTTTTCAAAGATTGATTAGTCCCCTGCTAGTGGATGATAGATTAAGGAAAATTATGTGGACGCAGCTGACAGCTGAGGAATCTTCTCTTCTTAAGCATCCAGTGCTGGCTGCTGTAAGAGAGGGGTTATTGGGCTGGGTGGTACTTCAGGCTGCTGCATTGTAGCCGTGTTGATGGGGTTCCTTTGAGGCAGTACGCATGTAGGATAACACACATCTTCCCATAGCTTTCAAATAGCCAAAGTTCGTATAACTTTATTACCATACCAGGCACTGCTGCTGTTCCCATTGAAATAAAAGTTGATTTCTCTGGGAGCAATAGACAAATGAATAGTAATCTAGTGTGAAAATAAATGTATAGCTCGGTCTTTAACTGTGAGAGGAAAAAATATTTTTAACATGTCACACTGTCAAATCTTTTGACCCACTTTCATTCTAATGGAACTGATCATGAAATCTGTTGTGCCCTCTGATTTCTTTCAGTGTGAATGGCTGCTGGGAGACAGAAAGCCTTCTCCAGAGGACTTAGATAAGGGCATTGACACCAATAGCCCTCTCTTCCAAGCCATCTTAGAAAACCCAGTGGTACAGTTAGGGCTAACCAACCCTAAAACTCTACTAGGTAAGTCCTACTTGCATTCCTGATACATATACAGTCTCTGTATTTGCTAGCAAATAAGAGTAGAGACTGGGTGATGAGACAGCAGCCTTTGTGGGGTATGTGCAGCTCTGTACCCTTTTCCTCACTTTCAGCAGCTGTATTGTTTGTTTGCTTCATACTGCAACTCAGCTAAACCCGGAACAGAACTTGGGGCTGTCCCAGAAATGATACTAATTCCCCAGGCTACTGGATTACACTTGCTGAACTCAGAACTTTAATAGCTGCTGGCTGCAATGCTTTTGTGGATTTAGGAGACCTTTTGTGTGCTCTCTTTGCCCACGAGGGGAAAAATCAGGAATGTTTATCTAGAACTCTGATTATTTCACAGAAAAAACAAGGCTGTCTCCTGCTGTCAGCTTACTGTGTGTTGAGGCCTGATCATTGAGATGGAATATAACTCGTGGAAGAGTAACTAAACAAGAAGTCTGAGCTAAGACCTTACCTATGAAACTTGAGATAATGTATGTGAAAATACACTTCCCCTTGCTTGGGTTTCAGCTCCATAGTAAAGTCTGTGTGCTCATGGTCAGGAAGGCCGTGAGCACAGCAAGTACCCAACTGGTGACCCTGACAGTGAAACATAAATCTCTGATTAATTGGTCTCTCTGACACTGGAGGACAATACAGAAGAATGACGTTGGGTCTGTGATGTATATAAAAAGTTCTGCGTTTAGTCTTTGGCTTCAAAATTTGTTTGAAGCAATGCTTTTAAATAAAGGGTGTATGTGCAGCTCTTTCAAGAGAGCTTTTAAAAATACTACTTTAAATGTAATTAGGAGAGTTTGCAAGCCTTTAAATAATTCAAGAGCAGAACCTTCCCACTCTGATTTCTGAACAAATGGTCTCTTAATTTCCAACAAGGGTTCCACACTGCAGCTCAGAATATAAATAGAAAATGAAATGCCATTATATGTGCTTGTAAAGCTTGGATGAACATCAGAGAATATATTCCTAATGACACATCTGCAAATTGCTTATGTCACGAATTTTAATAATGAATGTTTGCATTTAATTGGATACTTACAGAATGGTGATAAATCTTTAGTTTTAAGCTTTTGAGTCTGTGTAAAAGAATAGAGTTAAAGTGGTGAAAGGTGAGATCTGTACTTTATTCTGGGCTTTTCTGTAGGCATGCTGCGTGACCTTGAGCAAGGTATTAGTGATGAGCCTTTCGGAGGTGCCGAGTACTTAACAGCTCCCACTAATGTCAGTTGGAGCTTTGTACACTAACACTCCTGGGAAAATTAAGACGCTGACCTTGGTGCCGGTATGCCAGACTCAGAACACTGACATTTCAGTGACTTCTGAATAGGTCAGATGTGCAACTGCTTTTTTTGTCCTGTTCCATAACGACTGCTCCCAATGTCCAGTAGTCCAGCTCAGTGTCTGTCATAAGGCTTATAAATTATTGCCTGGACCATTCTTCTGCCAAATTTGCAGCTTAGCTCCGGCAATAGCTGTCAGCATAAGAAGAAGAGTGAAAACTAGCACATGAAGAAAAAGAAAAAAAAAAAAAAAAAAAAAAAAAAACCACAACAGTGAAGCTTATTGTAAAGACAGCTGTGTATAGAAAGAAAAAAACACTCTTAAATATTTGGATTGCTGTCACTGTTCAGAAATGGAGGTAATTGTTGCACAGACAGCCTTTCCCCTTCTGCCTATGTCTAAGCAGGTGGAACTGGCTGCCTTCCTGACATCCTCTCCTCTCCAAACACTACAAAGGAGAAAGTACGCACTGCTGAGAGGGAAGATGCTGCTTCCCTTCTGGCTCCAGGGGTGTCTATGGAAAAGATAGAGCTCTGGGACTTGGGGGCTTAAGGGGCTACACTTCTGATGGCTCTGCTGCTCATTCATGGGTAGCCTTTGGCATACCTGCTTCTTATTTTGCTGGCTTAGTTTTCTCTTCAGAGCTGTTATGAGAGAGCAACCATAGGCAACCGAAGTACGGCATGGGAAAGCAGAGGTAATGGAGTCAAGGGGGTGGCAGTGCTTTTTATGAACTGTCTTGGTTAAGTACAAGGGAGGAAAAAGATATGGGTGCAAGAGCTAGCCATTAAGAAATCTAGGCTGGGATGCGGAAAATCTTTGATCAGAGGAGTGGATTTGCAGAAGAGTCTTCCTACAGGACTGTGGGCAGCAAATGACCAGTTCTAAGATGGGCATTCATAAGTGGATGAGTTGCGTAGCATGTTGCCTGCTACTGCATGTAGACACTTGCTAAGGCTTTAGCTCCTGAAACCCATGTCCTTGAGGTTTTGTGAGGTGGACTACAATCCAGGCTGAGTGTTTAATCAGCCTCTGTCTGCAGTGAATTTAATGCTGAGGATGGGGAGAGCGTAACAACCTGTAGCATCCCGGGCTGTGGAGACTTAGGAGTGCAAACGGTAAATGTAGGGTGTGTATTCCCACTGGTTTTGGGTGATGGTTGCCCACTGCCTTTGAGTTGTAGTTATTTCTAACTGTCCTGTTATTGAAGCATTCCAGACATTGAAACCTTTGCTGACTAAAGGACTAATTGAGTGTTGCAATTTCCATCTTTTGGCAGCCTTTGAGGATATGCTTGAAAACCCCTTGAACAGCACTCAGTGGATGAATGATCCAGAAACTGGGCCTGTCATGCTACAGATCTCTCGAATCTTCCAGACGCTGAATCGCACGTAGAGGGGAATGCCAGTCCACTGTGCCACTTCCTACTGTCCCTGGCTTCACCTTTGCCTCAGCGGGAGGATGAATGGGTTGTTTGGGGAGGGGGACGGATGGAAGGGGAGGGGAGGAGACCCTCTCTGAATGGGTGTCTCACACAAGAGCTTATGTAGTTATGGCCAACTGAAGTTAACTGCCTTGTGGATTTAGTGTTAGTGGAAGAGGTTTGAAGACTTGTTTATGTTTTCAGGTATTAGGTATATCAAAGTATATCAAAAAATAGGAAAAGGTTTTGTGAAAACAATTAAGAATCTGATTGTTGGAAAGAAATATGATATTACTTCTTAAAAGGGCCTGTGACGGTAGTTTTCTAGCCAGTTTTGCTAGCAGCTGGCTAGTGTTTACAAAAGGTCACTGACCACTAGCATAGGTTATTAATCATCTCCATACAGTATTAATTTATGGCTATATCAAATTATAAAACCTTTTTTTAAATTGATTCGTAGGAAATGTTTTTTAAAAGTCAAAATATTGGGAGAGCAAGCACATTTCTATCCAAACTTGTTTATCTTGCATTATAATTTAAACAGGATAATTCAGAGATGGAATTCTTTTATTAAATAGCATTACTTTTTCCTATTTATTTTCTGCGTTAGTGTTGTTGCAGTCCCACAGTGGTTATACTCTTAGGAGATTCTCTGTCAGCTACATTAAAAATGCGAGTTCTGTTGTGAAAGAGAGTCTGCTACACCAAGACTTGGATTCTCGAGTAGGCTGCAGTTCATAAGGTCAAACTCTGCCATATCCTAGCACAGGGAGGGGTATATTCACATAGTGGGCTTTCTTCCATTTTTATGTGCACAGTTTTGGAAAGGGAGACTTGTGGGTTTTGACTTTGTTTCAAACTGTTTACAAAAAAAGCAACTGATTTGCATGGGTTTTTCATTGGTGATCTGTAAAGAAGCAGAACTGCTTAGGTTTTTATCTTAACGTATTTAAAAGCACGCTTGAAATTACTATCTTCTTTGAGATGATAGAAGTTTTTTTTGTTGACACTTATTTTTACCTTGGAAATACCAAGAATGCCGGGCTCTGTCTTTCCTGTTTTGTCAGAAGACTGACTTGAGATTTCAGAGAGGCGTTGTGAGCTTTTAAGAACAGAACTCCTGTCAATATCCAGCTAGTTTTTATGATTGGGCTCTGCAGGTGTTACTTTGTTAACAATCTGAACAAAAATGGGTTTTATTTTCAAATTAGTGAAATGTGATTGATATCTATCATAATCCCTGCCATGTCTTGTGTTTCACAGCCCTTTTTAGGAAAGGCAAGA